CTTTTTTCTAATTGCAGTCTTTCACCACAATTATGGCCTTGTATCTCGGCTTTTCGCCATTCTTTTCATTCTTGATTTTGTAAACCCTCTTGTTCTTCAGAGCTCGTCTTCCTTCTGGCAGCTCGGTCAGCTCATAAGTTTGATTCTCGTGTAGAGACTTCATCTCATCTTGCATTGCCTTTTCCCATTCTTCCTTATCTGAGCTCGTCACAGCCTCATCATAACTCTGAGGTTCACCATCTTCAGCAACAATGGTGTATTCATCAGGTGAGTACCTTGTAAAAGGTCATCTCACTCGAGTAAAGTGTCTGGGTTGTTCTTTAGGTTGAGAATCTGGCTCATCATGTTCATCTCGGATCTTAGCATCTCGGTCCTCAGGCCCTTGGTCTTCAGTACCTTGGTCATTCTCTTCATTTTCTTCAATCTTTTGATTTTCTCCCCTTGCTTCAGCTCGGACAGGAAGGATGGGTTCTTCACGTTTGACAGCAACCCGGACTTCAGACTTCGAGATGTCTTGAATAGTCTCGTTTGCATGAAACACCATATCTCGACTTCTCACTACCTTCTTATTGATTGGATCCCAAAGTCTAAATCCGAATTCGCATCTCGGCAAACCGAGGTAAATGCATTCATTAGTCTTCACATCGAGTTTCGCTCTTTCATATTTAGGGATATGCACAAAAGCTCGACATCCAAATACCTTCATATGATCGTAGGCCACTTTTCGACCTGTCTAAATACCTTTATTTTGGAATTTCTTCTTCAAGTGGCTGTGATGGTGAGAGGTTTATCAAGTCAACAGCAGTTTTAACTGCTTCTCCCTAGAATAACTTTGTAAATTTAGCATTAGATAACATACTTCGGATCTTTTCTTCAATAGTCCAGTTCATCTTCTCAGCACAGCTGAGGTGTCTTGGGGGTGTCATCTCAAGTCCGATCCCGGTCGCTCTACAGTAAGCATCAAAAGGGCCGTAATACTCACCACAATTGTTAGATCAGACCACCTTTAATTTCTTACCAGTCTCCTTTTCCATTATTGCATGGAATTCTTTGAAGAATTGGAGTACCTGACTTTAGACTTCAACAAATACACCCACACTTTGTGGGAATGATCATCAATAAATGAAATAAAATACTGAGCTGCTCCAAGGGATCTTTCTGACATGGAGCAGACATCAGTATGGACGAGGTCAAGAATATACCTGCGTCGTCTGGGTTGATTTGGTCTCACGAAAGAAACCCGATACTGTTTTCCAGCTAGGCAGTGCGTGCAGCTTTCCAGCGCTTGGCCTTTCAACCCAGTCAATAATCATTTCTTGTTCAGAATTTGGAGCCCTTTCTCGCTCATATGGCCGAGGCATTTGTGCCACAGGTCTAGGCTAGGTCCATCTCGGACTGAGTTGGCTTGTCTTCCATTGATCTTTCTTTGCATCACGTACAAGGAGCCTTCCTTCTTACCTTGGACAACAACAAAGTTTCCCTTGGCCAATTTCCATCTACTAATTCTGAAGTAGTTCACTAACCCGACATCATCAAGCTTTCCTACCGAGATTAGATTCAAATGCATGTCAGACATATGCCTTACATCTTTCAACACAAATTGGCATCCGACATCTATGGTCAGGGTCACATCACCGACACCAACAATCTTGCTAGTCACCTGATTTCCCAACTTCACGACTCTAAAATCACCATCTCGGTAAAAGGAGAAAAAATCTTTGTGTGGAATAACGTGAAACGAGGACCAGAGTCAACAATCCAGGTGTAGTCATCATATGCAACATTTAAATAATTGTCTTCACCGAGGGGAAATATCTCGGCATACTAGTTGGCAGCCACTGCAGTGGTGCTCTTGTCTTTTTTGTTCTTCGAAATGATCTGATCCGGCTTCTCAGTGTCGTTCTTCTCATCTTTCTGTAGAGTCCTGCAGTCTAGCTTCTAATGACCGTGCTTCCCAAAATAGAAACATTTAAACTCATATTTTGGCCTAGACCGGCCACTAGACTTGTCATGACCCCGACTTTTGCTATGACCTCGATGTCGGACTTTCCTCTTTTCTTGGTCACGTTTGCGTTAGATGTGCTGGTTACATCTCGTTCCATTCTTCTGCATTCCTCATTCAGGAGGCTGTCTGTCACGGTATACATCTTCAATTTTCCATCAGGAGCCGAGTTGCTTAATGTCACCACTAGAGTATCCCAACTTTCTGGCAGTGAGCTCAACAACAGCAAAGCCAACATCTCATCATCAATCTTCATTTCGGCTTTAGACAGCTGATTCATAATAACTTTATAGGTGTTGAGGTGTTCAATCATTCTCATGTCGTCCTTGTATTCAAGCTTCACAAGTCGGTGAACCAGGTGTGCTTTGTTTCTGGGAGTCTTCTTCAAAATCATGGACTCTAGCTTCGTCTATAATTCGTATGCATTCGTGAACTCAGACACGTGCTCAAAGAGGTTATTGTCAATATATTTTCTGATCGTGGCTACCGCCTTCCGGCTCAGGATCTCTCAATCCTTATCAGTTTTGCCTTCAGGCCTCTCATCAAGGACGATGAGCTCGTATAGATCTTTGCAGTACAGATGGTCTTCCATAATCGGTCTCCAGTAAGTGAAGTTATCCGCGGTCAGCTTGAACATATCTTCGTTATAGGAAACACCACTAGTCTCATCTTGTCTCCTTCAGAACCCGTCTAACCCAGGCTCTGATACCACTATTGGGAACTCAGATTCCTCAATCTCGAATAAGAAGGCTTTGCGGAAGTCAAATGTCGAGCTAGGAGCTCGACTCTTCAATCAGAGGTCGGCCTATACCAACAGGTAGGCTAGCGCAACGAAAAAAATGAGAAACACACACACACAAAGAGAGACAAACATAGGCAGATTTTAACGTGAAAAAATCTTCTCCGATGTGAAGAAGTAAAAACCCACGAGACAGTAGTCCATAATTAAACTTCCACTATAAAAATAATGGGTTACAAAAGATCAAACTTCACCAACAATGATGGTATACTCAAACCTCACCTGCAATGGTGGTATTCTCTCAAACTTCCCTAGAGAGGACTCACTCTTCTAACTTCCCTCTAGAGATGCTCTCAAAATCAAAGCTTTAAGCTTTTCACTCAAACCCCTTTAAAATCTTATACGCCAACCTTTTTCTCATTTTTTATTCTAACCAACCTCTCCATCCCACAACTAATATATATAGGGGAGGGAAGAAGTTTAGGATTTTAGGGTTTCTTAAACCCTCATAGGCTTTGGAACTTAACATTAAGGAAGAAGCCCAACAATTTTTATAATTTAAAATTATTTTATATATTATTTATTATAAACTTTGTAATATGAAATTTACGTGATTAGAAATAATCATAACAACAAATTAATAGAATTATATTATTCTAAAATCATTTAATACTTGATTGGTATATTTCATATTAATGTAATATATTACAAAAAAATTTACATACATATATATTGATCTTAATACATGTAAAAAAGTTATTGAAGAGCAAAAAAAGGTTATTGACGACTGTAACTAAACCATAGTTATTAATTGATTTAACATGGTGGTGGCAAAACGGGTTGGCCTGTCCCGACCCGCTGCCAACCCGCCAAAAGTGGGTAGGCCGGCCCCGCACCGCCTCTTGAATTTGAGTTGAAAACCCCAATCCGCCCCTTTTTTGACGGATTGGCTGGTCAACCCGCTTAAAAAATAAAAAATAATTAAAAATAAAAATAAATTATATTTTATTAACATTATAATATTACTTATTTTCATATCACATTCTTCTTAATTTTTTTTCAATCTTAAGTCTAAATGTATGCTAATATTTAGTCAGATGTTCTTTATAAACTTGTTTTTATCTCCATACATAAATTACCTTTATCATAAATAAAGTTTTTCTTCTATATTTTTTCTAGAGAGTACTAAGATAACAAAAAATTGGATATCACAAAAATTTAAAAACAAATAAAACATTACCTTATGGTAAAAGTAATAATTTTTGACCGGCCAGGCCAATTCGCCCCAACCTGCCGCCAACCCGTTTTGACGCACAACCCAACGGGACGGGTTGAAGCGGGTTGGTGGGTTGAAATATGTAACACAACCCGTCTTGTTTTGGCGGGTTGACGAGTTGACCCGTCGAGTTCAACGCATATTGCCACCTCTAATTTAACATGTATATCCAAAAATTCAAACAAAATTGTTTTATTAAATGATTAATATTTTAATTCATTTAAAAAATATTATATACGCAAATGTTTAATACTTTTTGATATAAAAAAAAAATTAGATAAAAAAAGCATGACGTGTGTCGGATAACTCCAATATCAATCAACAATTTTATTAAAAAATATTTTACAAATTTTTTTTGTTAGTGTAAAATGAATTTTATTTTATTTTCGCAAAAGTAAGGTGATCAACTTTCCCTAAAATCCTTGCGCATACTTGACTCAACTCATAATTAAATTTAGTTTGTCATTTTAAAGAAAACAAATTTATGTTATTTTAAGCAAAATTACTGTGTTTTGATAACATTTTATCTTCTCTCTTTTCCACAATACTTTCTTTCTCTCTCATTTACAAAATTTGGAAGAGAAAATATAAAAAATTATTAATATACACCAAAATACAATAATTTCACTTAAAATGATTCAAATTTATATCTTTTTTCCCATAAATTTAATTAGTTAAATTTTTTTTAGTAAGTAAAAGTTAAAGTTTAGATTAAGAAAAAATTCCAAATCCCATTGAAGCCCACTAGAGTTGATTGATAACATGCCGTGCGAAATTCTTCAACTCTACAAACTACAAAGTGCCCAAAACACAAAGTTTGGATTCCAAGTGAACGAGGCCTGATTTTAGTGAGATATTGTTTTCCCTCAAAAGAATAAATAAGGAGTTCGATTTTTCATAGGCCACCTTATAACACTTTTTCATTCTCCATCCTCTCACCGACTAAAAATAAAATAAAATTTTGAGACCAGAAAATAAAAGAGAGAATAAAAATACTGAGATTTGACTTTTGAGATACATCCTGAGAAAGGAATTTGGTTTTACTTTCGTGTTGGGCTAAGTTGAAATTACAGCACGTAAGTGAAAGGTGACTCAAAAAAGAAATCACTTTACATACACGATATGAGAAAGTGATGCAACAAGAGGGTGGATACAATCATACAAATGGGAGACATGAGGGCAAATTCAAAAGCGAAACACACATATTACATATAACCAAATTAGAAGTGGAGATGTTACAAAGACCAAAGATCACCACCGTCCTTCCCAACAATTCAATACGCCTCCTGATCCCCCAGCTGTTCCTGCACCGTCATAAGCAAAATCACAATCACAATTTCCATTACAATTTGATAAATCTAAACCCCATCTAAGTAATTTTCATTTCAATTTAATCAAATTTAAAGAATTATAAGTTAATTAATTAGCTCACTTTGTTGGGTATGATAAAATCAACGAACTTCTTCTTGGCCTTGCCTCCATTGGGTGACTTTTTGTCGTGTAATTGCTTGTTATGGTCCTTGTGGTGGACCTGATGGTGCTCCCTCTCCGTTACATATTTCCTTATGTGCTCTCTCACGAACCTTTCATACAAGTAAGCAGCACCTTTGAACTGCGGCAAAACCAGCCATGCTACCACCAATAGCTTCACATCGTACCAAATAGGTACCCTGCTAATTTCCTATTTATATTAATATTCTAGGTACGGATCTAAATTTCCATATATTTTTTCATTAATTGATTTTAATTCAATATAAATTCAAACTAACCACTCTAAAATGGGTTGAAGAACCATTTCCGCAAGGGTCAGGAACGAATAGATGATCCAATATGCTAGCCATTGCTCATCATCCAATTTGGATGGGCTCTCTATCGCTACCACCGATGCATACCTATAATAGCAATAATAATATAATAGAAATTATTATGAACAAGGGTAGAAAAATAATAAAATGTTGGGGTTAGTTTTGATACTTACAAAGGGTACAATAACGTCAAAATCGGCCTGCAAAGAAATTATACAACCAAGATGTGAATTAGTAGTTCAAGATATAGATACATATTTGAATGAATTATAGGGATCAGAATCGAAATATAATATAACGTAATCTTTGAACATAGAGGAGGTTGTAGAAGAATGCATACCCAGCTAGGGAATGAAGCTGTGTGATCAAAGTCCAAAACTTGGCCATATGGTTGTTTGTTTCTGTGAGTGAATCTATTTGTCCCTTGTTATGAAACGAAGAATTAAGCTGAAGAAACTTAAGAGAAACCGGTTGAAAAAGTAAAGTAACGTAACTAACGTTGATTGGGGCGTTTGGCCTCAACTACCAATGTGAAAAGTGAAGTGAGTTAACGTTATAGAGCCTGTAAAAGAAAGCCATGTTGCAAGGGTCGCTTATAATGTTTGAGGATTGTGATTAGATGATAGAGAGAGAAAGAGAGAGAGTGCCACGTGGTAAGAGAGGAGCAAGTATCGGATTCTGCCTTAAACGTGTCATGCTTAATTTAGCACCGTCCAGATAAGATATCATCTCATCTCATCTCATTTTGTTTGTTTTAATTAAGAATCGGAGGTTCTTTGCCCAAAGCACAAGCCACGTGTGCACACTCTTTAATGCATGCAAGTTGGTGGTGACGCGTGTCGATTAATGTGCATGCTGGATCCTGCTGATGTGATGGCTGATACAGAATCTCAATGGTGAGGTTTTGTATCTCTTTGTAGTAGTTTGGTTTAGTGGATTGAAAAGGTGGACAAACCACATATATGATGGCACTTGCACTTGCTATGTTGTGCAAATTAAAATGCACTTGCACTTGCACTTGCACTTGCTATGGTTTAGTATTGATAAAGCTGAAAAATACTCACTAATTAAGAGTTATGACTGAATCTGACTCTAATGGGCCTTTGCCTCCGAAAGCCTATGCCACGTGATAATTCTGGATCTATTTTTAATGTATGTGCGACGTGATAGCGTATGATGATTATATAAGGGAATCAATAAAATTTGTTATACTTGAATGTAATTAAATTAGCTTTAAAACTTGAAATTAAAATAACTAATTTTTATTACGAGTGCGAGTAAAATACTTTTTATTTCCTCCACGAGGCATTAAAATTTTTAATTCAATTATGCAGGAAATGTAAAATTTTTAAATGTCTGATGGTATTGCGATTTTATTATTTAACTGAATAAAGCTGCATAATAAAAATTAACCACTGTCACTGCAAGTTTTAATATCAACTTAATTATATTTAATTATTATACCTTAAAGAGGTGCTGCTAGCTGCTAAGTAACCTATTTTATTATTATTATCATTATTATTATTATTATTATTATTATTATTATTATTATTATTCTGTAATAAACGAGAGAAGCCACGTTGACTGGCGGCTCTCAAAGGCGCAGACCGTTGAAAACAGACCCAGACAAATAAATAATTATAAAACTGGACCAGTCTACATTCATCAATGAGCCTAGAATATTTAACCACAGGCTTTGAACTTCGAATAAGCCCATGCATTTGAAGTGGAGTCGCAATCCTTTCATCAAAGTCCAGTTTATCGGACCCATGAAATCCATGGACGTTAAGGTCACTGCCTTGGGCTAATTCTAATTTAATTATCTACCTTTTTTTCTTCCTTGTCTTGCTTTGGGGAATACCTTTTTTGTTCTTTTCACCTTCCTCTGGACGAGAAAAAGTGACCGGAATATTATTGAACCCTTTTATTTTTTCCTTTCAAAATCTTTTCATATTGAATTTTTTATTTTTTTGAGAGAAGATACTTGCAAAAATTATGTGAGTAATATAAATTAATATGATACGAGTGAGATACAAGAAGTAGGAGTTGGACCATTGGCTGAAACAAGAATTGAGGCCCAACAAGGAGAAGAGGAGAATAACAATGCAACAGATGACATCATTGCTAGAAGGAGAGCTAGAAGGGTGATAAGAAAACCCAAGAGGTTCACATGTACTGAGGTGTAATTGGTTGTAGGTCAAAGATAGTCAAAGGAGACCATGTTAGTTAGTAGTTAGTGTCACCCACATTGGGTCAGAAACAAAACATGTATAAATAGGAGTCCTTGTAACTAAGATGGGTTGTTGAATAAACTTTTCTCTGAATAAAGATTGTTTTCTTTTCTCATCTCTTTCTCTCGAATTCCTTTCTTTCTTCCCTGTTCGAATATGTATCTCGGATAGGTTCAACCTATCAATTGGCGCTTCCATTGAGTTTTGAACATGGCTCCGGAAACTAGATCACGATCCTTTGATGACAGATTGGATCACACACAAGCAGAAATTGAGGTTTTGAAGGAACAAATGACAAAGAAATTTCAGGAAATCGCATGCAAGCTAGATGCCATTTTTTATAACCACAGAGAACACACGGCGACCTTAGGTACAACATCTAATCACTCTAATCTGAAAGATAACCAAGCAGCACGTAATGTACGTCTCAAAGTACCGAAGTTTGATGGGTCATGTGATCCTCAGGGTTGGATCTTCAAGATAGAACAATTTTTTAAATTTTACAACATTGATGAAGATCAGAAGCTTCGGATTGCTCCAATCTATTTTGATTGAAAAGCTCTGGCCTGGTATCAATGGCTACGCAAGAACACCAATATTGCATCCTGGGAATCTTTTCTACAAGCACTTCAAGTACGATTTGGTCCATCAGAATTAGAAGACTACCAAGGACAGTTATCCAAGCTCATGCAAAAAGGATCTGTTCTGGAATATCAAGAGGAATTTGAGACGCTTTCAAATAAGGTACATGGTTTATCTGAATCCTTCTTACTTAGTTGCTTTGTATCAGAATTGAAACCAGTAATTCAACAAGAAGTGGCTTCATTTCGTCCATCGACAATGACTAGAGCCATATCCTTAGCTAAGATTCAAGAAGTAAAACTGTCACTCAAAGAGGTACCACCTAAACCGTACTCTCCATACCCACCTAAATTGCACTCTCCATACCCACCTTTGCTACCAACTCCAAAAACCTCACCAAATCAATTCAATCCTAAAACCACTACCACTGTTAATACTACTCATCAACCGAAACCATGTACCCAGAAACTAACCCAAAGCCAAATACAAGAACGTAGAGACAAAAATCTTTGTTTTACATGTGGTGAAAAATATTTCTTTGGCCATAAATGTAAAGCCTTTGTCCATATTCTGATTGTTTCAGACTAAGAGATTTCTCTTTGTTCTTCTGATATCACAACAGAAGATCCAAACCCCAATGTTTGCCTTGAAACTGATTGCAGTGAATCAGTAACACCATAAATTAGCCTCCATGCATTATCTGGGATTATGGTACCTCAAACACTACGCTTCATTAGTTATATTGGCAAATCAAAAATGAGCTTGCTAGTTTCTGGTGGCAGCACTCATAATTTTTTACAACCAAAGGTAGTATCAGCCCTCAATTTGCCTATGTCTTCTGATCAGCAATTTGATGTCATGGTTGGAAATGGCCAAATCCTCAAATGTGAAGGCTTTTGCTAAGCTGTACCTGTTCAAATACAACGACACATCTTCTTAGTGGATTTTTATGTTATCCCAATTCAAGGGGCAGACATGGTGTTAGGAGTTCAATGGCTCCAAATTCTGGGACCAGTGGTGCTAGACTATGGCAAACTAACCATGGAGTTGCATGGGCAGGAGAGACAATCAAACTGCAAGGAGATAAACATGTAGGTCCTATATCCTTAAATCAATTTCGAAAGTTACAGCACAGAGGACAGGTAGCTTCTCTGTTTCAACTAACATTGTTGGATTCGGTTAGATCAGAATCACCTTGTGATAATTGTCCTGAAGTTCAACTCATACTCTCAGATTTTGAAGAGTTATTCAATGAACCAAAGGAAATTCCACCTCATAGAGTATTGGATCATGAGATTCATTTACAACCACAGGCTTCTCCAATTAATGTGAGGCCATATAGATACCCTAACTATCAAAAGACTGAAATTGAAAAGCAAGTCCAATAGATGCTTGATTCTGGATTCATAAGGCTAAGCACCAGTCCTTTTTCCTCTCCAGTGCTATTAGTTAAAAAAAAAAGATGGGACTTGGAGATTTTGCATTGACTATAGAGCCTTAAATAACATCACCATCAAGGATCGCTTCCCTATTCCAACAACAGATGAGTTGATGGATGAGTTAGGTGGTTCACAATACTTTTCAAAGCTGGATTTGCGAGCTGGTTATCACCAAATCCGTGTTCACCTTGCTGATGTGCACAAGACAACCTTTCGAACTCATCAAGGTCACTATGAGTTCTTGATAATGCCTTTTGCCTTAACCAATGCTCCATCCACATTTCAAGCAACCATGAACCTGATTTTGCAGCCTTATCTTCGCAAATTCATGGCTATATTCTTTGATGATATACTAGTATACAGTCCAACATTTGAAATACACCTGCAGCAACTTAGGATTGTCCTAACTACTCTACAGCAGCACAAGTTCTTCATCAAAAGGAGTAAATGTTCTTTTGCAAAAAAGGAGGTGGACTATCTAGGCCATGTTGTATCAGAAGAGGGAATAAGGATGGACCCTAACAAAATACAAGTCATGCTGGATTGGCCTACTCCAAAGAACCTTAAAGAACTAAGAGGTTTTTTAGGATTAACAAGCTACTACCGACGATTCATTTGTAATTATGCAGCCATTGCAACATCCCTCACTGAATTATTGAAACAAGATTCATTTCTTTGCAGTGCTGCAGCTCAAAAGGCTTTTGAAAATCTCAAGGTTGCAATGACAACTGCACCTGTACTGATTCTGCCTGATTTCAATCAAGAATTCACCGTAGAAACTGATGCATCTGACTTGGCAGTGGGTGCAGTTCTTCTCCAACAGGAACACCCTATATCGTATTTCAGCAAAAAGCTAGCATTGAGGATGCAAAGGCTTCTGCCTACGTTAGAGAGCTTTATGCAATTACAGAAGCAGTGAAAAAGTGGAGACAATATTTGTTAGGTAGGAGATTCACTAAAAGAACTGACCAAAAAAGCTTGAGGAGTCTTTTAGATCAGGTGATTCAAACACCTGAGCAACAATATTATTTGACCAAGCTATTGGGTTTTGAATATTCCATTGTTTACAAGCCAAGGAAAGAAAACCAGGTCGTGGATGCTTTATCTAGATATCTTGTCCTCATGTCACTGATGGCAGCAACAACAATACAGGTTGAACTATTGGAAACACTAAGAAGAGAGAATCAGTCTTCAACCTTTTTTCAGCAAATTTATAAGAACATTGAAGATGATCCTAGTAATAATGCAAAGTATAAATTACATGAAGGACTGTTATTTTATAACGGAAAGCTATTATTGGA